ATATGCTCTGGATAGTAGGAAAAATATATCAATGTTGTATGATGATTAACAGCATTAATATAAGTCATATTAAAGTGACTCTGTGTAAAAACCAATGTGCTGCTTGTAATATTATAAGAATGAGGTAACATATTGGTTTACAATTACACTCTGCGATAAATTGTCATCTAAATTATGCAAAAATTAAAATAACACTGACATCTCCTTTTAACAGATATATTTACCGAAATTACACAAAAATATCTTTAAATAGTAAATAGTAAATTTATTCAATATAATCGCCATTAGCTTCAACCACAGTCTCCAAGCAACTCCAGAATCTCCTGCATCTCTTCTGGATGGTCTCCTTGTTTAAGTTGGTAAATGCTGGCATAATCCTTGCCTTCAGTTCATTTTTACTGTTACAAGGAGTTTTGTTGGTTTCACTCTCAACTGTAACCCATACATAATAATCAAGAAGGTTGCAGTCTGGGGAGCTAGGTGGCCAGATGTAAGGGGTGATGTCATTGCTGAAATTGTCTGACAACCATGACTGGGTTCTTTTGTTTGTGTGACATGGTGCAGAGTTCTGTTGCCAGATATAGGGTCTTCCAACAGCCACCCTCTTGATCCAGGACGGCACTACCTCCTCAAGGCACTTGATGTAGGCCTCCATGTTGAGTCTGAAGCCCTGTGGGATGATGAAAAGAAGGCATGACATCACCATCACTAGTGATCACTCCAAACACCATGATGTTGACTGGATATTTAGTTTTCATCAGTCTCAGTACATCATTTGGGAATACAGCATCCTCTGCACTGTACTCAGTTTGACACTCAAACACTCTGAAACATTCATATTGTAGCTTCTGGCATGAATGCCAAGCAGTACAGTGTGTCATGTTGGAAAATTTTTGGTGCATTGAATTGCATCATGGTGTTCTTTTAATCATAGAAAGGTGCCCAACTGACCCTACTTTACTGTGCAGTTGACAAAATCAAAAACAAACAACATACATGTGCAAAATTAAAAATATAAAATGGCAACAATTTGCCCATTTCACCCTGTATATAATTTTTTTAAATTAAACCAGACTATATATTATATGAGTCGTCCCATTTTCTAACAAGTGTGGTTTTAAAAGTAACATAAACTCCAAACATATTATTATTTTTTATGGAATATTCATTCTATTTTGAAATTATATTGTTTTATTTTCAATGTAAAATAATTGTGGCTGCTGAATATGAAAATGAAAACTTTATCTTAACATTTTCTCAAAATGATCATAATTTATTTTTATTTGCATGAAATTGTAAGGGATATTAACAGGGATTTGGAAATTCATAGTCTATGTCATACAAGTCATTCAAAGTTCATGTCATACAAGTCATTCAAAGTTCATGTCATACAAGTCATTCATAGTTCATGTCATACAAGTCATTCATAGTTCATGTCATACAAGTCATTCATTTTGAGTCTGTTGGGTTATAAAACTTGAAACAAAACAATATAAAAAGTTTTTTAAATAGTTATTGTGAAATTAAATTTTAGAAAATGTAAGAAACAAAATTTAGGAAAACAGATCTTTAACTCCTGAATCAATGCAGTATGTTGGAAGCAGAAAGATATTTACAGTTCAATTCACATATATGACTTTTGAGGAAAGAAAAAGATCAAATGAAGCAATTAAACCTGAGTTAATTTCTTATCTTCTTGATTTGATCTTAAAAAATAAATGCCTAAAATAGACTTTAAAAATGTAAGGAATTTGTTAAAGTAAATTATTTCCTTTAGAGTACTGTTTGCTTTTACATTCCTAGTCTGAAGTATATATTGTATTTCCTTTTCCTACCAATTTGCAAAATCTGCACAATTTCATTTTATAAAAAGGATAAATAGTGTTATTGTCATAATTGACATACCAGTAGTCAACAGTCTGCGTTTTGTTTTTCTTTTACTAATGTTCATTCAGTAAAAGTCCCAAGAGCCACTCAAGATAGAGGGTTACTGAGTGAGGTTTTTACATGAGTGTAAGAGGAAGAGAAAGAGGAGGTAAGAAGTGTACTTGATGAGTTTATGTAGGAAAGATATTCCTAAACTTGAAGGGGTTCATTGTAATGACCAGGACATCTGGTAGTCTGTTCCACAAAATAGCAGTTTTTGAGAAGAAGCTGTCCAAGTGGAACTTCCTTCTTACTAATGAAATATGAATGAAATGAGGATGATTCATCCCTGTGTATGTGGTATGGCATGTCTTAGCTGTGAAGGTTTGAACTTGTGGAGCTAAGGAATGTCGTTTGTCAGACCATTTATCATGGTTTCTACTGAAGATTAAGTGGCAAAAAGTCTATGCACATCTAAAAAAAAAAAAAAACATGGCATCTCATGACAATTTTGAGTACCAATTTGAAATCAGCATAAATAATTTAGTCTAGTACAGAAGGACTTGTCTGGGTAGCAGACAAAACGATTTGTTTTTTATTACTCTGCATTCCCTCACTTTTCTTGCATACAAGAACTCAGTCTCCCCTTCTGATCTTAAATGCATTATTATTATTATTATTATTGAGTAAGAAAGCAGCATGCCAACAAAGTGATACAGTGGGATACAAATATATGAAACACAATATACCCATCATGACCCCTAGTCTGATAAAGGTATACCAGATATATACATCACAGCCAAATGTTGACAGGTTTAGCAGGAGGAGCCAGTTAGAAATAACTTCAGGTCGGGTAACCCAGTCTGCTTTGATGACCTCCAATTTGGCACATTCCCAAGTATGTAGATGTGACGCCCAAGTAGCTTTGGCTGCCTCATCATTCAGACTAAAAAAAAAAACCCTCTTGACATTTGTAATGCTCCTCTACTATTCCCACTCATGAATAGAGATGTGTCATCCCCTAGGGGACATACTCAATTAAATAAATTTGCAGAACCTTATAAGCAAATCTGATGCAAAGAATGGGATATTTTTTTGTAAATACAGGGTGCAATGGGTAAATTGTCGCCCTTTCAATTTTAATTTCATGCATTCGCATTGTTTGTTTTTGATTTTGTTGACTGTATAATATAGTAGGGTCAGTTGGGCACTGTCTGTGAGAAAAAGAGCACCATCACGCAATTCACTCTTCCAGAAATTTAGGAACGGTATACTGTACAACTTACAAAGATTTCAGAGTATTTGTGTGTCAACCTGAGGACAGTGCAGAGGATTCAGAAAGAATTGGATGAGTCTAATGGTGATTATGAAGATATGGCAGGTTGGAAAACGCACTCTGATTATTCCAATAAGAAAAGAACTCTTCAATTTGTTGGTGATGGCCTCAAACTTAACATGGAGGCCTATATCAAGTGCTTTGAGGAAGTAGTACTGTTCTGGATCAAGAATGTGGTTGTTGGAAGACCCTATGTCTGGAAACAGGACCCTGCACCATGTCACACAAGCCGATAAAACCAGTCATGTCTGTCAGACAAATTCTGTGACCATATCACTCCTTACATCTGGCCAGCTAACTCCCCAGACTGCAATACTTAATTATTATGTGTGGGGCACAGTTGAGTGAGAGACCAACAAAACTCCTTGCAACACCAAAGATGAATGGAAAGCAAGGATTATGGTAGCATTTACCATCTTAAACAAGGAGACCTTACAGAAGAGATACAGGAGAATACAAAGTCATCTGGAGGCTGAGGTTGAAGCCAATAGCAATTTTATTGAATAAATTTACTCATTAGTATTTCAAGATATTTTTGTGCAGTTTTGGTAAATATATCTGTTAAAATGTGATGTCAGTGTTATTTTCATTCTTTGCATTATTCATACGACAATTTATCCATCGCACCCTGTATATTCTTGTATATACCTGTATATTCCAATCAATTAAGATTAGAAGACATGCCTGTTGTCACAACAGTATATTTACTATTACTACTATAACTAGGATGATGTTGATGATGATGGCGGTGACAGTAGTGGTGGTAGTGATGATTAGAAGAATAAGCACAGTTACACCATTTATCTGCTGCTTATTGCTGGAGTTTTCTCAAATCTGCAGCACTTTTTTTTACTATCTTTACAGACCCCAACAATACTACAGTCAGTTAGTGTCAGTTCTTCCACAAATCTTTCATTTATCTAATTACAATTCTAGTGCTTCTGACATACCAACCTTTTATGGACACAATGCTGACTTTTCACTTTTCTCATTTTTCAAGTGAGGTTCTGGTATTTTTCCAATTTTTCATCTTCACCCAATTGTCCACAAGCAGAATTATTTATCTCCTATCTGGCAAGTCTTGCTTTCCTTGATTACATTTATTTTTCTCTCATGGATGCAGTGATCAGTTTGGATGTGAAAATCTCAGATTATCTCAGATTATCTTTTATTTTCAAACAGTTTTTGGATAACTGATGCAATATATTTATATTGTTAAATGCAAATCATTTTGCACAAGTCTCTCATGTTTATTGCATTCATTTTCTTAATTTTTATGCACAAAATTGACATTTAATTCTTTCCTGGATCTATTCTTGGATATATATACACCTAATACATATATATGCACCTCATACATATATATGCACCTCATACATATATATGCACCTCATACATATATATATAATATATATATGCAACTAATACATATATATGCACCTCATACATATATATGCACCTGATACATATATATATAATACATATATGCACCTAATACATATATATATTATACATATATACTAATTCATATATATGCACCTAATACATATATATGCACCTAATACATATATATATAATATATATATACTAATACATATATATATATATATATATATACCTAATATATATATATGCACCTAATACATATATATATAATATATATATACACTAATACATATATACACCTCATACATATATATGCACCTAATACATATATATAATACATATATGCACCTAATACATATATATGCACTCATACATATATATGCACCTAATACATATATATATAATATCTATA